AAAGCTTTTATCAATCTAATTTGGTTTATAAAAGAACCAAATAAGACTGATGAAAGCTAAAACTAAAATGTTGAAATTTCTGATGTCTTGTTCTATTGCAGTTAAACTGACTGAAGCAATACAATGGACTTATTCTCAGTTGTCTTTCACCATAACAAGGAATAATGAAAGGAAAAGTAAGTTGTATCATTTAATGCTAATTTTGCTATTGAATAATTTGTTTATAAATTCTAAAGTTTTATTGAAACTTCATGAAATTACACAAAAATATTTCTCTGAAATAACTTGTAAAACTTCTCACTACAAGTTTAGAAAAATCAGTTTATACTCTGAGCATATTCCTTTGAATTGGCAATTAAAACTTTGGAAATAACATTCCAATAAATTTTTTAAAATTAGCAAATTAAGATATTTTCAATGCAAGAAAATAAAGACTCCATATTATATAACTACAGTCGACCCCCCTATAATTACGGTCCCTATAGTTACGATTCCTATAAAACTACGAAAAAATTGCTACCGGTNGTTAAATGGTATTTCATTCTATGTTTATACTAATTCTATTTTTTTTAATCATGTTTTTGTTATTAAACTCAAAACCTATAGCTATGTGGATTTGAATTTTTCAATTGTAATTTTACAAAAAGAATTTCTATTGCAATTTTAGTAACTTGAATATCCTAGAACAGTGGTTCCCAACCTTTTTTCGTTAGCGTACCCCGTGACATGTCATATCTCTAGATTGTACCCCTCATTTAAGAAATTTAGTGAGTAACCGTATTGTTAATTTTACATATTGTAACTTTAAATTAAAGAAAAAAAACCTAAAAGAAAAAATGTATAATAAAGTTGTGATTGTTGCAAGAAACATTTTTTATCTAATAATTTTTTAATACTATTAGTTTGTGATACATAACATATTATTTTTTCTGCCATAATAACTAACTTTTTTCTGTACCCCTAAACAACCTATCGCGTACCCCTAGGGGTACGCGTACCACAGGTTGGGAATCGCTGTCCTAGAATAACTTAAGATAAACATGATTAAAATCTATTTTTTTGGTTTCTGGTAACATTTTGCTACCTGTTATTTTTATTAATAAAATTATGCTATTTCATATTGATAGTTTAATCTTATTGTGCATTTTGATATCAAATTAACTTGTTGTATCTCTAATTACAATTGCATATACAGTAAAACACATTCAAAACAGAACCTTAATAAAACAGAAACCTGCAAAAATAGAAAAAATTCTTCAGAGTGGGGTGATTTTCTGTGTTAAAAGAAACCCATTTAAAATGAAAACCAGCCAAACTGGAAAAATATTTAGTACTGTGTAAGTCTGGTTTACACAGATTTTACTGTATAAAATTTAGAGAACACACACTGAAAGTTACAGGTAAAACTATTTGAATGAAATAGATGTAGTAATTTAAAGCAGTTAATATAAAGTAATTGTTGTGAAATGAAAAATATTCTTTTATCTTATTAATTAAAACCCGTTAATTAAGGACTTATCCCGAGATAACTCGGGCAAGTTCCATAGCGTTACATAAAACTTGGGCGTTTGGACCCTCTGAAAAAAATTTTTTTTGGATGTTTTTAGGTCTTCAAATTTTTTCAAAAATTTTAACCCGCGCGAAAAAATTTTATCGCGATTTTAATTTACCTTTAATTAATTAATGACGCACGATTAACGCTTAATTGTTTTTTAATGTGATTTTTTTAATCAAATTTAATTCATCGTTCTAAAGTTGTAGTGCACGGATTTTACTTCGGTAAAGTTATTTAAAGCTAGTTTCTGATGTCAAAAACGACCTCCAATAGTTTTTTAATTTTTTTAATTAATAGATTTTATTATATATACGTTTAATTAAGTCGGGGGGTCGGAAATCGCAATAAAAAACGTAACTTTTTAAAAATATTTAAAAATATACGGCCAGCTAGTATTCACTCTACTATAAACCCTTCTCCTCCTGTGACTTCTATGAGAATGTCCCGGGAAATCCAACATCACCTGTTCTCAAGGTCATCCAGCTGTAAACACAATGACTCATCAGTGTCAGATTTCACAGAAAGGCGAGACAATGGAAAATAAAGTTTGAAGCTTTTTCTTCAAAATTAACGCATTTCTTTCGTTTTTTTCACTTTTAAATATTTTTTATGTTTAATTACATTAATATCAAAAATTGGAAAGTCGCAAGGGAGTTAAGGTACAAAAAAGAATTATTTTTTTCATGTTCAAATAGACATATAAATTTTATACAGATAGAAACTATCAAGAAATTAAAAATGTTACTACTAACTTTTAAACTGATATTGAAAAGATGATTTACATTAGGAAAACAGATAAAAATTACAGAATCGACATGGAATAATTTTCTTTCTGTACAGTTGCTACACTTATCTGATACCCTTGTTATAATAATATAATGATAATTTAATATTTGTTTCAATTATTTATGTATATTTATTTTATAATAATTTTGATTGTTTTATTGTTATATGTTAAATTAATTTATTTGTAATGACCTCTTGCTTTTTAAATTGATCTCTGAAACTCAAATCAATAGAATATTTTCCACATTTTACAAAATGCACATTCTATGTATATTGTTGTAATCAAAATTTCAAATTATTGAATCCTAAATTAAATTATTGGTTAATAAATCTATGAAGTGATTCATTAACCAATAATTATTTTAAAATAAAAATATGTAGATTATTGTAAAAATTTAATACAAGAAAAACGTTTCTTTAGAATAAAAATAATTCTAAGTAATGTTTTTGATTCTCAAACTTAAAAAAATATATCATTAAATAAATAATTTAATTGAATATTCAAAACAAATCTCAATTTTAACTTTATTTTTATATCTTCTAATGTTTTCAAACTTTTTTTACAATTGATAAATTCAATTTATAAAATATAATTTATTGATTAGTAAATTCATATTTTTTTAAGTTATTTAAATTAATTTAAATGTAGTGATAAATTCTGATTTTATTTAGACCAGGTAGCATTGTCCTCAGATTCAGCATTAATTTTAAAGGATTAAATATACCTAACAATATCACAGAACTTTTTCAAACGTACGTTGCACAACAGAATGGAATGATAGACAGTTATAGAGTAAATGAAACATCAATTTGGGTAAAAGGTAAATTTTAATTATTTAAAAAGCAATGAATGAAATTAGTAGTTTTGTTATTTTAAAAATAATATTTAATAATATATTGTCCCAAAGATCACAAAATATAACAAATAAAATTCAAGAAACTAAAGATAATAAATACTGGTATATATGAAATGAAAAATTCAATATAATATCCATTTTAATGTCAGTGAATGTGAAACATTATAAACGTTATTCCAATATCTGAACCAATAAAAATATTTGATGTTAGAAATTCAAATTCCAAATATTTATCATACTAATGGTTTTCGGAAATAGTCCATTTTAAAAGATCACAAAATAATAAATTCTAACAAAAAATATGAGCAAAATCATCAATCTTTGATCATTTGGTTGTTTGTTAATGATGGTGGTGGTATTGATTTCACTCATATTTCAGTTAGAAAAGCTTATTTTACAAGATAAAAACCTTGTTAAATATAGCTTTATATCCTTAATGATATTTTTAAAAACAGCTAAAGCAATCCTATAACTTAAAATTAGCAGTTTTAAGTACAGTATTTCCATTATTGACTTAAATAAATTTTAATTTTTTTCAAAATGAAATGATAAAAGATTTTATAATTTGCATAAATTCAATTTGAGCTTATTTATTTTCTGAACTTATTAAAAACAGCTAAAGCAATCCTATAACTTAAAATTAGCAGTTTTAAGTACAGTATTTCCATTATTGAATTAAATAAAATTTAATTTTAGAATATTCTGGAAGAAAATTTTGTGTGATATTGGTCATTCACAAAATTTTCTATTAGTTAGTTAATTAATCTGGAGATGAAGATTGAACATTGGTCTGGGTAGTGTAACTGGCAATGCATCTGCATAGTAAGCAGGAGTTGCAGGTTCGAGTCCCGCTCCGGCCAATCTTTCCTTCCAGAATATTCAGAAATTAATATAACAAGAGATGGCATAATCTCCTACCTCCTGCCAAATTACTTAATTATTTATCCTCTCCCTAATAAAAGAATCCAGCTGTTGATTTGATATTTGAAGTAATTATGGGTTGGTTGTATTTATTATATCTACTAAAACATATCAAGCCTCAAATCAAGGAGCCCTTTTTCTTTTCATTCAGGAATTCGACTTCTCGTCCCTGGCAATCTCAAACATTCTAATGTAATGACAGATTTTTGAACCTGTTTGAAAATCTCTTGCATGTATGAAATTTGAAAATGTACTGACTGATCCAGTTTAAAATGAATCTGTCATTAATCATGGTAATTTGTACTCATAAATTAAAACTTTCCTAAATATGGAGCCTGAAATCATCCTTACTACATTTGAAATTTTAAAGTATATTACTACAAATTGCTTGATAGAAATTTATTTGAATTTGTTTATTTTTTGAATCCTAATTACTCTGCCAGTATCTATAGCTAATTCAGAGAGAGAATTTTTAAAATTGAAGCTAATTAATACATATTTATATTTAACAGTCTGTCAAGTTTGTATATCTGACTTGGATTTAATTTTGATTGCTTACTTACATCTTCAAAATAATCCCCCTTGGGCATTAATACACTTTTGCCAGCACTTGTACAGCTTCTGGAAGAAGTATTACTGTAAGTCATCTTTTGTAACCATCCATAATGTCTCCTGTGATGCTGCTTTTACTTCGTTTGATGACTCAAAACAATGTCCCTGCAGATGTTATTTTACCAGTGGAAAGAGATGAAAATCTCAAAGGGTCAAGTGAATAGATGGGATATGGAAACACATTAGTATCATTTCTGGTGAAAAACTCTATGACCATGATTGCAATTATTACTTGTTTCCATTGATGAAACAATATCTTCAGNAGGTATTACAAAAGATGATACTAGTGATAAAACAGAAAGTTTAATCACAACAACAACAACAACAACTGAAGTTCCAGTACAACTAGTCACAGAAAAAACTTTGATGCCAAAGTCTGAAATATCTCTGTGGACAGAATTTAATGTAACTACATTTAGCAGTATAAGTGATGTGACAGTAACTGAAAATGTAAATGAATCTACCTATCTTGAAGAACAAGCATTCACTACTGTGTCAACAGCAGCAGCTAATCTTGGATCAAAAGAAAATTTTACAGAAATGATAACCACTATCGATGAAATGATAATTAGGAATGAATCAACGTTCATTCCTAATGAAACAACTACAAAACAAGATTTGGAAATAACTACAGAAATGAATAATTGGAGTGATAGTTCGTTACATCCAGAAATTAGAAGTGAAGATGAAATAATTGTCACTGAAATATATAACATTTCTAAAATGACAACTATTCAAAGTAATTCAGTAATAACAACTGTTACACAACCCATTATTACAACAAATTTTAATAATTCAGATTCAGTAACTGAAATTCCTAATGATTTTAATAATAGTTTAGAAAATATTACAACTTTTACAGAAATAAATCTTAATGAAAACATTACTGAAAGTCCTTTAACAACGACACTGAAAGAAAATTTTAGTAGTAATAACAATTTAATGTTTGATTTCACTACAATGACAGAAACAAACACAGATAGAAGGATAAAACATACAATTTCAGATACATATAAAACAGATTTACCTGAAAATATTACAGATTTGGATAATAACATTAACACCACAACATTTCAGTCTATTAATGTAACAATAAGTAATACTTCCTTAGATTCAGTTACTGATTTTCAACATTCAGTTATAACTGAAAGTGCCAACTTTGATAATTTGACTAGTCCATTAATTATTTTAGATGAAAATGTTACAATTGTAACTAATGATTATAGTACAGATCTCACTAAAGACTCAATATCTACAGAAAATAATTCTTTTGAAGTAACAGATACAGTTTCAAATTCTGTGTTAAATTTGAATGTTGTAACTTCAAATATTACAGATTACGTTAATGATACAAGTATAAAAGATGTATCAAATAATGTTACTGAAGTTATTTCCCATGTGACTGAATCAGACATTAGTACATTACACTACAGAACAGAAATAACAGATGTGTCAAACACTGAGAAAACAACATTAAATGATTTATTTTTCACAACAGAAAGTACAATTTTATCCACACAACAAAATTCAGAAACAGAATACTTACTGAATATTAATAATACTGATATTACAAATGATACATTATTTTCAGAAACAACTATTGCTAATTCTGAAAATCCTTTTCTTTTAACCACTGAATATACAATTGAAAATACTGTTGTTAATCTAAATAATGATACTATACTAAATTTTCATAATGACAATTTAAATGTAACAGAAGTTCAAAGTTTTACTTCCACAACTGAGTCTGCAGAAAATGATGAAAATATTTCTGTAACAACAGAAGCTAGTGCAGTTCGTGATGATATTTCTACAATTTGGGATAATATTTTGGCAACTCAAGAAAATACATCTTCAATATGGAATGAATATACCTCTCAAACTACTACTGAAAAAACTGAACTGTTAACAAATTCACCTGGTGACAATATTACTGAAATGATTGATACTGAAAATACAACAGAAAATTTCACTTTCACTGATATAGTTACAGATAATATTACTGACAACTGTGATGGTTGTTCTACTACCACATCAAATATGATTGATACCACAAATAATCCAACTTTTCTAACCCAAACAGACATGGAAAAAAATACAACTAATAATGATACTGTATATAACACAGATATAGGAATTGATGTAACTTCTATAAATAATGAAACTGTTAACATTACTGATTCAGAACTTTTAGGAGTCAACAGTACAGAAATAATAGATATATCAGTATCAGAAATAATAAATAGCACGTATAGCGAAAATGTAATGAATTTCTTAACAACAGTTTCAAATGATTCAGACATATTTGCTACAGAGGCAGATAATAAAGACATATCATTACGAAGTATTTCAACTTTAGCCACTGGTGATGAATTGGCAAATTCCACAGATATAAATATAGATTATCAGATGACTGTTACCGATTTATATAGTAATGCAAATTTTGACGAAACTAATGGGACAAACACAAAAGAATATAGTGAAGAATGGAACAATTTAACTATGAATGAAACCAAATATACATCATGTCCTGAAGGTAATATGAAAATATAATTATTATTTTGATATTTATTTCTATTGACTAAATCTTAAAGTAATCAAATTTTAAATTTAAAGGACAGTTTTCGTGTCCCGACGGAAATATTTGTTTTGATTTGTCTCAGAAATGTGATGGAATTAATGATTGCCCAGACTCATCTGATGAACTTTTAGATTGTAAGTATACAATAAAATCAGATTTACAAGATTACTATAAAATATGTGATAATCTATTATATAATTAAAGAAAGTTTGATTTGGTTAAAGGTCAATATTGTGGTACAAATTTCCAATGTGAAAATACTACTAAATGTATAATGGCCAAAGCAAGATGTGATAATATTTGGGATTGTGAAGGTGGAAGTGATGAAGTTGGATGTGGTAATTCAAGTTAAAATTAGAATATTTAAGTGTCTGTTCTAAAATCCACAATACTAATTATATTTTTCTTTATTTTATACATTTCCAGAGCCACAAGATTGTGAGGCTAATGAATTATTTTGTTCAGATAGAAGTGCATGCATTAAACCACTAGACATATGCAATAATGTTTACAATTGTCGTGATCGTAGTGACGAAGTGGGATGTGGTAATGTAATTTTTAGACAAAAATATCTTAAAACTCACCAAAATTTCAATCTGTAATTGATTTTATATTTTAATTTAGTTGAAAGAACAACATGCGATACAAATCGCTTTTTCTGTCCAGAAGGCTTATGCATACCTTTAGCCCAGTATTGTGATGGAGTCCAAGATTGCAAAGAGAATGAAGATGAAAAGAACTGTAGTATGTATATATACTTAAATACATAAAATAGAAATAGTAATATTATTATAGTTTTTTCAATGTATTGACGCATCCTATGGAATATGTTTTACATTTGCTGTTTGTAACAATTAATGTATACTGTATTTTAAATTGTAAGGTTCCATTATTCTATACCTGAAGAAGACAATCTGAAATTTGTTGAAAGTATTTATAGTAATATTTCAAGTAAAATAATAATGCTGACAGACAGTGTTAATATTTTCTTAAACTAATTGGCATCGCATGAAGCAATTTTGAGCATTTTGTATCATAGAAACTGCAAGACAAAGCTTCTTCTTACTTCTTACATCTTATGCAATTAAGTACAGCTGTGTTAAACAATTAAGTCCTCCTTGTGTTAGACTATTGCTACCAAATGTTGAGTGCAAGTTACTTGCTAGGTTTATTAGAGAAAAATAAAATGATTGCTTCTGCAGAGCTCTCTCTTTATCTAGCACATATATCCTTTGTCAAGGATTGTGATCCATGAAACTTGTATGTGCAATTAGCTAAGATTTATGCCATCTCATACAAGCAATCAAGAGTAACAGAAGAAAAAAGCAAATAAAAAGCCACATTGGCTCTCATGTTCCTTCCACTACAAAATCAACTTTCCTCGTAAGATTGAATACTATAATTATTCAAATATCAATGTGCCAGAAAGTATTAATCACTTTCTGCAACACAGACCCAAGTACATACTGCCAGTGAAAATCAATGTAGAACATTTAATTCCTCCAGTCATAGTGGTAACCAAAGCTTGTCAAAACTTACAAGCCAATTTGGAAGTTGCTACCATAGCAGAACTCTGTTCTGCATATCATTTTACTTACTATTAAAATTTTTTTATGATTATTAATTTACATAAGATGATTATTAAGATAATAATTAAGATGATGTAATTTTACAGCATGTCCTGCTGACAAGTTCCAATGCTTAAATTCTGTTTGCATAGCAAAGGATTTAAAATGTAATGGAAAAGAAGACTGTTTAGATGGAAGTGACGAAAAAGGATGTGGTATGTTAATATATTTTATCTTATTTGTTTTTTTTTTTAACCCTTTCCACCCTGTGGGCACTAAGAGGTCCTCATTTAGAAAGCCCATTATGGGTTTGGCCAGGTCCACAATGGAGCAGCTGGGTGGTGAGGGACAGGGGACTAACATATCTGGTCAGACCCCACCCCTGAAAAAATTCCTGGGGATTTTTCAACCCATCTGGATTTGATCCCAGGTCTCCCAGAGTGATAGGCTGCCACCTTGACTGCTTGGCCATCCAGCTGTCATATTTGTTTTTATTGTCAAACATATACAAGAAATTTTTTTAAAAATAAACATTAAATCTATTTTTTGTAATAAAAAAATAGATTTATATTCTGTTTAATATACAAATTCTTCAAAACCATTATATGATCATATTAATTTGCACCAAATATATAATTTATTTAGAAAATTTAAATAATATAACATACCATACATATAAATTTGAGTACTTGATATATTTCCAACTCCTCCAGATGCTATAAGTTAGATTTTTCATCTAATTTATTAAGAAGTCAACTTTAATGAAAAAATAAATAAACAAACATTTTCAGATCTATTAAGTTGTTGCAAATGAAATGGCTAATTTTTACTTCTAATTTTGAATGTTTATTAATTTAATTTAAAACTTATATATTCAATCAAAATTGTCTCCACCAACATATTTTGTCCCCACCCCTAAAAAATTGTCCCCTATTCCATTGGGAAAAGTGTATTACTTTTCCCAATGCAATAGAAATATATTAATGCCAATTTGATAGAAATCACAAGAATGAGAAGCCAAAAAGTCATTAAATTAAAGGTACTTTTCATTGCATCCTCTTCCTTGAAGACTTTTCTTACCAAAAAACTATCCAAATGTATAAAAAAAGTGATTGTCTGTTGGAAAAAAGTCTGGTGAATAAGGCAGATGTGAAAGAATTTTATTTGAATACTTTCATTTTTGTTACGAATAATTAAAGAACTGCAGACCTCCAAATGATGCTCCTTATCTCTCTCACTAAGTTCATGTGGTACCCAATTGTCAAGCTTCTTGACTTTTCCTAACATGTTTAGATGTCTATAAATAATTGAATAGTGTCCAGTATGTTCAACCTTTCTGTGATTTCCCAGATATTTAGATGATGTTCTGATTTGATGTCCTTCAATTCTGATTTTTGAGATTTGTATTCCTGGAATAAAATTTTTTAAATCAATGCCTAGTGGCCTGCTCACTCACAGAACCTTCACCGAAAGTTTTATTGTTATTTCAGGTTGCTTCAGCTGCATTATGTCCCTTCTTATACTTGAAAAAGAAAATTATTCAATTTCCTTTTTTCCCTACAATCAGAAAAATTACTCTTAAACATATGGAATGCACAATATAAATGAGATTACATTTGTTAAATTCACATATTATATGTATGCTCTTCCAAAATTACAAACATACATCACTGTTCACATGAAAAAAGTTGAACTACAAAGCTGGAAAGTTTAAATTTTAAAATCAGCGATTTCATTTGCAACAACCCAATACCTAATTCCATAGTCAAATTGATCTCAAACCAAACAGTTAATTAATAATAATAATAAATAAATAAAATGGATTTGAAACATTTTATTTTCATCAAAACAATATTCAAATTGTATTTTCTTGTATTTTATTTTGAAACCAATCTGAAATGGAGCTAGCATCTAAAATGCATTTTTTTTCATTAAATTTAGATTCTTTACTATAAGTTGGATTTTTCTTCTAATTTAATATATGTAAATGCAAATATTTTGTACTAAAGAGAGGTTTAGTTTATAAATATATTATATAAAATAGTAGTTGCTACTCAGCAGTGATATAATCATGGAGTGACCCCTTACTTTTGTAAATAAATAAAGAAAAAACCAAATAAGTACAGGAAAAAAATTTGAGTGTGTCAAATTCACTTACATAAATATTCAGACAACATCTAAAAGTACTTTTCATCCACAGTGATACAGTTCTAGTTACACTATTGTTATGCAGCACCCCACATTAAACACCCACAAGCTTCCATTGCAATAACTCAAACTCTTGATTAAGACATTCTTCCTTGTTTCAAACTCTTTTCAATATAAAAATTTTAATTTATTTATTGTTAAAATTTTGTTATTAAAAGAAAAGATAACTGGAATATCAGAATACTAATAAATTTTTAAAATCAAATTATTTTTGTTATTGGCATTATCGTCATTTTAATACATATTATTTAAAAATTTTTTAATAGTTCAGGTTGATTCTAATGGTGTGGTGCAAATTTATGATCATCTGAGTATGACTTGGAAACTTTTATGTGGAGAAAACTGGACAAAAGAAGATGGAAATACGCTCTGTCAAGAATATGGATTTAGGTATAACCGAATATATTTGATATACAGTATAATTTCTGAAATTGGTGATTTAAACTGATTATGTGGCAAGAAAAGTTCAATTTCAACTGACAAATCTATTTATTAAATCAAACATTTTGGATCATCTATGTGGCCATCATCAGTATATCTTGTATTGGAATGATAGAATATTATATATACTGTACACACAATTATAACATTCAAATTAAACATTGGAACATCCTAAATTATGCCATTTTTAGAATGATCCAATATTTAAATTGAATATTTTACTTGGGTTTACATATAATGTTGTACACAGTTTATTGTTCCAATATGAAATATCCTGACAATTGCCAAAAATGTTTGATTCAATAAATAGATTTTCTGGTTAAAGTCTAATCTTTTCCCCTTGTAATTATATTTAATATTTTATAATCTATAATTTATTACTTCACATAAATCATTTAAACAAAATAAAATGTATCTGTTGCAAGAATACACAAAAATACTGCAAAAATTTTCTTGAATATACTGACATAATTAATTAAATAGATACTCACTGGCATTTACAGTGGGGTTTCTAGAACAAATGTAATTGGTTCTAGAATCTTGTTCATTCTAGTATATATTGACATATATGCATTTAGCAGTAATCCATTCCAAGTGCACAGCCTATAGCAAAATTACCATCAAATATAACTATTTAAACAGAAAAAATATAATACAAAATCAAAAGTATAAGTGTAAAAATAATATAAAATTAATTTATCTGACTTTTATACACTATACATGCAAGTTTCCATCTGGTCCACATTATAATAATGTGAACTGCTTAAAATAGAGATTCCCTACATACCTGTGAATTTTTTATTTTAGTTTTATTAGCAATTTTATTTGCAATTAGTTTTTATTCTGAGGAAGGGAGTTTAAAATGGCTAAAAACATTAGAAAAAGTAAACACTGAAAAAATTTACAAATGAAATTTTCATTGGACAAACTGTAAAAGTGTCCTCTTTTGTTGATTAGAAAAAGTAAAATTCGCATTGCATTTAAAGGTATGAGTGGTTGGTTTTCTAGTTTGATCTTAAATCTATTTAAGAAATCAATAAATAAGATTCTTTGAAATAATTGGAAATAATATTAGATATAAACTAATATCTAGCACAAAAATATAAGACAACTAACATTTTTGCCTATGTTAAACTGGCATCTTCAGGCTAACTGACCACCACAGCTGTTAAAACAACAAGTATTGCCATATAAACATTAAGAGGGGGAGGGGGATATAAGATTACAGCTCATAGATCTACTTCCAAGCAAGGATTCTACATCACAAAAGTTTATAGTGGCATTTTTCTGATTGCCTTGTATATATCCAACTACTCCAAATACTTGAGCTGTTCCTTGTGAGTAGTTCTATGCATTAGGTGGGCATGGTCGAAATGGACATTGATGTCTGGGTTGAAGGTGAAGGTGGCCAAGCCCTTTACAACAGAATAGATTACTGATAGAACATCAGTATTTGAGGTGGATTTTTAAAGAGCATGCTGTAACACCTGTATATTCAAAGTTGCAGTTGGTTCTGTGATCCATAACAGGGATAGTGCATATGCCTGGTTAGAGGCATGTATCTGGATGGTCTTTAGCATTGTGGAGGAGGGTGAAAACTGAGGGACTTCTTCCATTTATAATTTTTTTCTTTGACAAAAAATATTCAATAATCAGACTGTTTAAAAGTGTTTATTTTTAAAGAATATTTTCAGTTATAAGTAACTTAATGCACAAAAGCATATACTGTGTCGAGCCAAATTTGATATTCTGATAGATGTCTAACTTACTGATCCAAAACTTGTATAATTTAATACATATTTACAGAATTATTTTCATAAACATTTAATTTGCAGAGGGGGAAAATGCATAATTTAAGCATATCTTTGTAACATATAACTGAATTTTACTAATACATTACTTTATTAAGTTATAAAGTTTTTATATAAATTGTATAAATACTTTAATCAATGGATATTTTTTCATTAATTTAATAATTTTTATATACTTCCAGTTTCCTATGTTTCCTGTTTTCGTTCAAATATCTAGTTTTCTTTTTAATTTTATCTTTTATTAATATTAATAAAAGTAATTTTTAGTAATTTTAATTAACATTTGAAAATGTTATGCAAATTACTAAAATAGTTTTCTAAGAAAAATTCTGTATTTAAATTCAGACAAAAACTTTTAAATGATTGAAATAATACATAAATTAATAATAATAATAATAATGCAATTCTATATAACTGTAAAATTTTTTTTATTTTACTTGATAGTGAAGCTCTTTCAGTCAATACAATAAATGTATTTTCAAATGTTGGCTGGATGAAAAGAAATGATACATTCAATAACACTTTATGGACACTTGGTGTACAATCGACTCCTTCCTGTGACAATAATGCAGCTGCAACAGTACAATGTAAATTATTTGGTAGGTAATTTAAATTTCTTTTTTTAATTAAATTTTTTAGCTTTTGTCAACTTCAGCAAAAACAAATATGACAAAAGATTTTCTTGTGTTAAACTTCAACTTGTATAAAACTGAGCTCTTCCTTGAAAATTCAGGTGAAATGTTTATAAGAATAAAAGTAAATGTAATTCTTATTATTAATGTATAATATACTATACAAATTTGTCTTTTTATGGTGTTTCCTTTTATATACTTGATCCAATTCATTGCTCTCTAAAGGATGATCTGATTCAGTCTGCATTTTAGATTTTCATATCTTTTATTTTTTCTATGTACTTGCAACATAAATGATGCACATTGAATAAATGTAATATTTCATTATCATTCTCATGCTCTTTTATTTCAAGTCTCTGCTTATACATAATATAATATAAACAATACATAAAAATATTAATTTATAATTGATTTAGCAAAGAATATGGAATATAAAAGTGAACATAATACACTGTCCTATCATTAATATAAAGACATCCATTTTAAAAACAATCTTTATATACTAGAAAACTAAAGCAGTGATGGAACTAGTCATTTGTTTTGGTTAATGAATGATAGAAGATCATATTGCTTTGTATTATGAGTAATTTCCCCCTCCGATATTTGGCAATACAATCCATTTTAAATGTCCAATAAGTTACTCTGAATCAGTTCATTTTTCTGATGCTCACATTTCCAAACCAATCCAACACAAAACAAACATGACAAAAACGTTATTAAGAATAAACTTTAAACAATTAAAGAAATCCATCTGCTCATTTTTATATACAGTAAAACTCTAGAATATATTAATAGTGTTAGAGTTTGGTATGATAGCTATTCAGTTTTCCAGTCAATGTAAATTAGTTGAAAGAATGTATCTTAATGATTCCTATTTATATTACAAATTTTGAAAACTAAAAGTTGTTCACTGAAATCACCTGCAAACATTTATGCCAGACATGTCTAAGCATTCCTACCAGTCAGACATGCTTATTAGGGTTTCTCATTTCCCGGTCTTTTGCTTGTCCCGGGATCCCGGGATAAAAGTGAACTGTTTCCCGGGATCCCGGGGTAGAATTAATTATTTTTAAGGTATAAAAAATATCTTGAAATCAAATGATATAATTATTTTCCATTTTCTAAAGTAATTTTAAAGTTCTGTAACCTCCAAAATCATATTAATAATACTGTGTAAGGTCTATAGGCCTATAATAAAAATTACCTTTAAATAACGTAGAAATTTTCACAAATAGAAAAAAATTAATTAAAGTTTGCTGGAAACTGCATACAACAACAACAAAAAAAAATGTTTTGAATTGAGTTAAAAATTAAAAAAAATGAACTTCTAATTTAGAAGGTAATTTTCGTTTTTTAAATAAAATATAACACAAAATATTGCAAACTTTTATAAGATTTTAAAAAGCAAAGATGGTCAATACTCCGATAACTCACTCTAATTCTTATTTTAGTAATGAAAAGTCTTGCCACCGAGAATGCCCTTTCCTATTCAATTGATGTGATTGGAATAGTGTTTAATGCATTTAAGAGAAGACAGATATTATGTGTTTTTTCACCCGTAGCCTGGAAGATTTCGAGTTCGTTTTCGAGATTGTAGTACTTCTTTCGCTCTCTAGTATTCTTGATTTGTCTACCTTGGCTGCTTTAATAGCGGCATCCAGCTTAGAGCTCGATAATTTGGCAATTCATTTGGCTTTAATAATCAGGTTTATGAAGAAAAACTTCATACTTGCAGACTTTGTACTCGTTTGTATCCTTGCCCAATTTGCACAATCTGGCGTCAGGCATTTATTGAAGCTACCGGGCATGGTTAAAACTCAAGACAGCGTAAGCACAATTATTCCAGATATTACAGGTTCCGACAAGTAAAGAATTTTTATAGTCCTGCCACAAATAAGCTATATATTGATTATTGACCATTTGTGACATGCTGTAACCAGCAAAAATTTAAAAAAACTAATAGGTAGGTTTAAAATTAATAAATACAAATGTATTCTGACAGTGAATGAGTTAATTATGCTTTCTATTTGCAAAATTCCTCAACCTTAACACAAAATAAGAAAAAAAGTGAATTTTTAAGAAATTTGCGGGATTTCCCGGGATAAGAAAAATTTCCCAAGATATTTCCCGGGTTAAAAAAACAACCGGGATCCCGGAATCCCGTTTGAGAAACCCTAATGCTTATGCTGCAAGGTGATATTATTTAGTGTTTTGTGATTTTTGTCACTTTGAAGTTTGTAAAAAGCCAATGTGAAACAAGGAGAAGTAGAAAAGTAAATGTTTGTCATTATTGATTATGTGGAAAATGGAATTATTACCAAAGCTTTACCATGATGTATATGCAGCATCTTACCATTCCAAAATCTGAAATATATCTGATCCTAAGAGTTTTGGATAAGAGATGGTAAATATGTCATTTGAAGATGTTGACATTAATTATATTTATAAAGTTTAATCTTAATGATTTCACTTATTGAGAGTTATTGTTTTTTTGGAGCTTAAAAACTCTACTTAAAATCAAATATTTTCAAATTTACAAGTTTTTTGAATACACCATAAAATGAATACTCTTAAAATCAATTAAATTAAATAAAAACATAGACTTTAAAAGATTTTAAGTTTTATTCTTGTTTAAACTCTATATTTGTTTAATTGTAATTAATAAGAAATTATTAAAAGATAGAAATTTATTAACACAATTACCATATTCTTCTTACAAAAGTCAATAACACAATGAATTTGCTTATCTATCTAACTAACTAACTTTATCCATGAATTTAAATTTGATATTAAACCTTTGTAGATTGTGGAAAAGCCTCAAATCAATACAGGAGAAAACGGATAGTTGGTGGTCAAGAAAACGGGCATCTTCCTGGTCAGTGGACATCTTTGGCAATTGTTAATAGTTATGAAACAAATAAATCATGTCATGCTGTAGTTATTTCACCACTTTGGGTTTTAACATCATCACAATGTTTAAAGTATGTTTTCTTTCTTTTTGTTTAAAATTGTTAAATACTCTAATTTAGTTAGTTTAAAAATATTATATTATTTAACAATTTTGTTTGCTGTAGAACACGTATGTCGAATGTTAATGATTTGATAGTACATGCTGGAATTATTGGTTCGAAAACGTTAGAAAATTCAACACAGGAAAGAAGATCAAGTTATATTATTCATCATCCACATTCATCTACACACAGATCGCCAATAATACGAGATTATGATGTAGCATTAATAAAGTTAGAAGAACCATTATTATTGAATAATTATGTTACTGCCATTTGTTTACCAGAAGAAGAAGTTAAACCTGGAATTACATGCTTTACTGGAAGTTTTGGAAGCCGAAAAATAAATGGTATGTATTAAAATATATTTATTACATTTAAATTATTTTACTTAAAATTTATTCAATAACTATGATCTTAGAATAATGATTTAATGCTTTTGTATTCAAATAAAATATAGAACAATCATCATAAACCACTAATCAAAATTCAGTTTTTATTTTTGATACTTGTCTTCTAATCAACCATTCTCAAAATAATTATAAATCTTAATGTTTGCAGTTTATACTTATCTATACCAAAAATATAAATTATTATTATTATTAAATCATAAGAATTAAAGAAGCATGTAAAACTACTTAAGATAATAATTAAAAATCTAGAAAAATACACTGTCCTATCATTAATATAAAGACATCCATGAATATTTTATTAAATATAAATTAACCTGAGTTTTAGTTTCATTTTTTGTTGAAAACCTATATTATCTTTTAATACATAACAAAATTTGTCATTTCTTTCTACTTAAGAATATTAATGAATTTTTAATACTTGTAAATTCAGAATTAAAAATAGACTCAAATTTTTGTTTTGAATTCCATGACTTTCCTGGACCAACTTTGTCCAAATTCCCCGACCCTCACATTTCTTAATGTGGAATATCAACACAAGTCTATTACTTAACTGATTAATATGTTTCATTAGATAAGATAAAGATTTAATTTTAATAAAATTTTTTAAATTTAGAACTTCCACCTGATCCTCCTTCCCTCAGTCATCTTGCAGTTGTTGTATATAACAGAGATGATTGCAACCAAGTAAATCATTATAATGATAGTATAAAAGCTACCATGATATGTGCAACAACTACAGGAGAAAGTTCTCTCTGTAATGTAAGTAACAGAAATTCTACAATGGAAAAAAATCAAAATATCTATTTTGTAATTTATGTATTTTTTAATTCTAGAATGATGGTGGAGCTCCACTGATGTGTTTATCAACAACAAAAAACTGGCATGTTGCTGGAATTTTGTCCTACCAACATAACTGTGGAATTTATTACAAACAACCAGCAGTTTTTTCAAACATATTCGAAATGAAGAGTTTTATTCAAACTATTATCAGCAAAAACAAATATAATATTACCTATGACAGTGAAATGTATTCAACATACCAACCAACAACAACAGAACTTCCTAATGATACTACCACCATAAGCAGCAGTGATATTGTTTATTCTAGTCCTGAACCAACTGAAAGTATTAATCAAACAGTTATTGTAATGCAAAGAATTGAAGATACAACACAAATAGACAACGTGGAAACTTCAACATTTACTAACAACATCTATAATATGACAATAGATAATGAAACATATAACAGTAATCAAGAAACTGAAATTCCATTGACTGATTATATTACTGAAATTTTAGATGAAAACACTACTGTTACTGAAATTTTAGATGAAAATGTTACTGCTTTAACTTCCAATGAAACAGTATTTATAGAAACAACACTTCCTACTGTTGACAATGATGCAGTAACGATTAGTAAAGAATTTATAAATAACACTGTCAACTTAAATGAAGAAGAAAATGTAACATTAGCTTTACAAACAGAAGACATAACTGAGTCACCGAAATTAAATAATGAATCTGATACAAATTTATTTATAAATGGAAGTTTATTAATTGAAAATGAATATAAAGAAATAAATATTTCAATTTCAAATACAATCAATACCCTAGAAACTGAAACTATTGAACCCGAAACTTCAATTGAAAATACAACACCCACTGTTTTTCCAATGCAGAATTTAAAAAGTGACAAATTTATTGATACTTCTTTAAATATAGATGATTCAACAGAAGTTAACCTTCTTAATGCTACTGTAGATTATATCACAACAGATATTACCGTTTCACAAGATATAACAAGTGTATCTGAAATGACTGTGACAAATGAGAACATTTTAACAGAACAATATGAGCAGATGCCAAACATAGAAATATTCAATCAGCCTCAAAATAATACCTCTGAATATGGAGAATTATTTACAAATAATTCTTATATCGACAGTACCGAAGAGAATATTACTGAAAAATGGAACAATACAAAGGAAGTTTTAAATGAAGATAATGCATCTACTGAATCACTAACTAATTTTAAACTTGAAGAAACTTCAGAAGATGCATTTGATACAACTACTATGAACTATATTAATTTATTAAATACTTCAATAAGCTCAATTCAATCTGAAGAAAATAAACCATTTGTTCTGCTGACAAATAAAACAAGTAAAAATATTTTAATTAAATAATTTATTTTCAAACTCTTTTCAATATAAAAATTTTAATTTATTTATTGTTAAAATTTTGTTATTAAAAGAAAAGATAACTGGAATATCAGAATACTAATAAATTTTTAAAATCAAATTATTTTTGTTATTGGCATTATCGTCATTTTNGTTCTTACTTCGTATGAATGCATGCTTAATCGGTTAGTCCAATAAATAATTATAAAAATATATATATGCATATAGATGTAGTATGTTTCAACTCTAAAAGAAAGAACATTTTACTTATAAAATTTAAAAATAACATTTTCAATCTAAAATGAGAAATTTTTCTTATTGTTTCAAAAATTAAATTTTGAAAAAGTTATTTTATTTGTCAGTCTTTAATAATTTGAAACATGCTACATAATATTTATTTTTTTAATTTTTCTTTAAATAAAATTAATAAAACCTGTGATTTTACTTAACAGTGATAATTCCACAGATAGCACATTATGGACATTTTATACATTGTCATCTAGTTCTTTAGTGAAAAATATTCTTAGTCAAGATAACGACATTGCTCTAGTGCAATTGGAGAACGATGACATTATTTCTAATTTGTGTCTTCCAAAAACTGATATAATGAATGAATGTGTAATTGCAGTTTGGAATAATTCGTCACAAGGTAAATTTTCAAATTAATTAATTGTATTTATTTATGAAATTTTAACTTTTTAACATATACAGGGTTCCTACTCAAATTTTTGTTTTGAATTCCATGACTTTCCTGGACCAACTTTGTCCAAATTCCCCGACCCTCACATTTCTTAATGTGGAATATCAACACAATAAAACAGCATTTTACTTACTGTGAACATTGAGTACATATATCCCATTTTTGCACAGTTGATATGTTCCAAAGACTGCCACATAAAAAAGTACAGTACATACATCCTGTATAAAACTGTTTGATAGGATCCACAACTTAAATATAATGAAAAAATAAGCAATTTACAAATGAAACATGAGTTTTTTTATTTTATCATCATTTATCATTATTATTTGTGTGTAAATTTAATAAACACAAGGTAGCATAAAATCAATAAACAGTACTCTCTGATATACAAATAGTACTGTGCTGTGCTGTGCTTAAAAAAGATGTACTCTTGACTTAAAAACATGTAATTTTAAACCAATCTTTCAACAAAAAGAGCAACTTTTTTAAACAGCAACATAATTTCAACAAAAAGTTAAATTTAAAAATGTTCAAATAAAGCATTTTTCCCCATGTAAAAAATCAATTGGACTACCTAGTTGATATTCAAAACTATAACATACTATAGTATCACTACAGGTATGATCAATGTTCAGTTTTTAAGCCCTAAATTCATCAAAATCAGTGATATTTGTTACCCAATTTTATTTCTATTAAACTAATTATTAAACTATGTATCAAAGTGCAGGAAATTAACAGAAGAGAGAGAGAGAAATGCACTTGCAGCACAATATTTTCAAGGAAAATCATAGCAACAAATGTAAAATGCTCCTGCCAACCACAAGTTGACATTTTATATCTTTACTGTAAATATCGGGTAACTGTTTAAACATTACTACACAACATAAAAAATTATAAACATGAAAAACAATTAAATTATAGATTTTTACTGATCTATTTAGCTGTTTTGAAGTGAACATTCTAATAAATGATCGTTTCAACTTTTAAAAGTTTGCAAACAAATTTTTAGTTAGAATAAAAAATAACTAATTACAAATTTCATCTTTTTATAATTCCTGAATTTTTAAAATTAAAAATTAAACATTACATAAAAGTAGTTTATCTTGTTAGTAACCCACAATCGTAACATTATATGGCTTCAAAATGGTGAAAAAAAGCCTTTTTTTTCTTTTTTTTTTTTTGATTGTTTATGAATTCTGTAGTCCATTACAAAACTATAAATTTATATCTTAATATATTTTATGAAATTTTAATATACTGGAAAGAAATTGGAAATTATGTTTTGTTATGCAACAAAAATGATTAAAATAAAAAATGATAAATATTAGTAATTTATTGGTATTATCAATTTTTGCACTTTGTTCTCATTTTTTAAAATCAAACACCTTACCTTGAATTGAGAGTGTGAACGATAATTGTGTGGAAGTTTGGAAAGTTAAAATATTTTGGAAAAATTTAATTGATGTTACATTATCAAGAGTATTGCAGATTTTTCTCTCAAATTCACGATAAAGTGTTTTTTAAATTTAAAAATGCTGATTCATCTGGCAGCATATTACATTAGGGACTGTTTTATCTCCGGAGTTTTGCAATGCTCTCCTCAGTGTTACTTTTTATAATAATTCTTCACATAAACAATTAATGTTAGTTTTAAAACTGACCTGCAACTGTCAGTAAAAGTAAAGGTTTGTATTAACTGTCAAAACATTGAAAGAAAATTTTTAAAAAATTAAACAATATCATGTGATTTAAAGTTCTGATTTTGAGTGATTTTAAAATATATTCTTACAATACAATAGAACAATAAGTAAAATGTATTGCATACATAAAACTAAAATGAATTCATTATATGTGATCATGCAAAGTTCAGCACTACACACCTCAGAAAAATTTTCAGTGTTTTTGGAAGATGCTTTTGATATAGATAAGGAAAGCATTTAAGCACATACGGAAGACACAAATATTTTAAAAGATAGATTTGTACAGTACATCTAGTAGTGTCCTCTAATACTAAAAATATTTTGATAGTAAAATGGATTCTGGTATATTTGTAATAAAGGTTGCAGCATTACTTCTTGCTGCCTGCAGATGTCTACATTTGGTCAGCCATATTCAGCAAATGAAATCAATAAGACAGCTAAGCAGACAAATTCTCTGACTTTCCATGACTTTTTCCAAACACTAACAAAAATCTGACTTTCCAGGTGTGTAAGAGCCCTTCATATATTCTGATTTTTAAAAAGAAGCTTTTAGGAAAAATAAAGCTAAGAGGATCAATGAATTTCTTTAAATTCACTTATCTTCCTAACTTGATTGCAGAATCTTATATAAACACAATCAATATTTGACATTCTATTTTTGTTATCTTGCTGTACGGTATTTCTACGTTGACACAAAAGCTATTTAGAATATGATATTAATCCTGATGTTGGCAGCTGGAATCTGTAATATTAACCTAACATCTGGTGTCTGAAAAAATCCCAGAAGCAGAGTCACTATTAGAGATTTGGGTTTATTAACAAATAACCTTAAAATTAAAACATCTGGGTTCTTTTCAGATTCCAGATGTATACTCTTATCAATCTTGTTGTTCTGCTTTCCTAAAAATGTCCAAATTAAGTTATGATAGATAGCTAATTTTTATGATACAACTATTACTATTGGACTGTACTGTATTGAGGTGTTTTTCAATCTCACAGTTTAGTTGATAAATTGTTTGGGAATTGAAACTTGCCAAAAAATTGAATTTCATGACACATCAAATTATGAAACATCAAGGTTTTGCTGAAAACACATCATTTGTTTGTCAATTCAGTATCCAAATACAAAAGTAAATTTATTCTACAGGTAGTATAATTCTACTTTCTATCATAGATTTATAATGTAACTGCTATATCATAAATGAAATAATATGAGATGCTTGTAAAGTTTCTCATATACTTTCCAAATTATATAAAGTCAATTGAAGGAGTGGAATACTATGCAAAGAGAACTATGAGAACAATTCTTTAGTTCTATTTCCTCCAAAATTTTCATATTTAAAAATAATTTGCTGAAAAAACTGCTAAAGAGGAATGTATCTTCAGTATTTAATATATGATGTGTGAGAAATATTAATTTAATCTATATTAAATGCCTAAATTAATATAAATTTTGGTTTAGAAATATTTTTAAAAGTATTCTTATAAAAGTACAAATTTAGAAAATGACAACTATAAATAATATAATATCTGACATAAATTCATTAAGCAAACTTTTTTCTTGTTATCTGTTTAGTGTAAAAATGGAAACAGTTTCATTAAAATCTTAATGTAATGCATTATTCCTAAATGATTTGATACTTTGTATCTCAAGTATCTACTTAGGAAGTTGCCACATTGACTTGGAAAAATTGATGATAACTTTTTCATTTGATATTATAGTAATTGCAGTTTGCTAGCATATGTAACAGTAACATACCATTATACATTAATCATCATTATACATCATTATAAACAATGACTATTATAAATTATTTTAAAATGATATGGAAGTAAACAAAGACTATCAATAAAATGAAGATGCTTATTATTCTTTTGATAATTTCCCAAACAGTATTTTCTATACGATATGATAGTCTATACTAATGAAAGTTACAAATTTAAAATTAATACATTGTCTTTGCTTGAAGCAATATATTAATTTTTGGATCTGTAACTTCCATTATAACTTGGATTTTAACAGAATTATTTCCATTTTTACACTAAATAAATCATAAAAGATTAATTACTTACCTAACTGTAAAAAACCAATATAACTAAACAGCTTTTAAAACATCATTATATTTTTAAATCTTCTATACCAGAGTTCTCTAGACTTTTTCATGTGTTGTCCTATTATGAAATTCATGAAACTTCATTGACTTTCAGGAAAAATAAATATAGTAAATAAAATATTTTATGAAAAAATAACACATGTAAACTAATATAGGCATATTAAAACTCTAATAATTAATTAAAATTACTCTGTATTGAGTCTACTGACATTTGGGGGCTGAATGTGGTTTAGAGCATTAACAAGGCTATAGGAGATTAGTGAGTTTTAGTCATAAGTTATATTCTTTGAGGTTCAGTTTGTTTCTTTGCTTTGTGTAAGTTGAATCAACTTTGATCCATGTATTAACGTGGAAATATACACAGGTTGTCTAAAAAGAAACCTTTGCTCTAGGAAGAAAGAACAAGAAATATTTTTATAAATATGTTTATTTATTCAAAATAAGCTCCCTCTGCAGCAATACAACATTCAGAACTAGTAAAGAGCATTTCAAAATTCTCGTGCTCCTGTTTTGGCATCTGGTTCTACAGTACTACAGTCACAGCAACCTCACTCTCAGAAATATCTTTGTAACAAGGCCCTTACATAGGAATTTTAAGTTTTGGAAATAGAAAATAGTCATAGGGAACCAGATTGGGAGAATAGGGTGGATGGACGATGATTACAATACCTTTTTGAGCTATAAATTGATGAACACCAGTGTCTTGTGCGAGGATGCATTGTTTGTGCAGCAGTGTCCAGCTTACTTGAGCTTGATAATCCCGGACATATATGTAAAATTGCCAAAATTCCGAAATAATATTCCCTGGTGACATTCTGGACATTTGGGACAAATTCCTTGTGCACAATACCCTTGGAGTCATAAAAACAGAACAGCATGTTCTTTACCCATAATTTTTGGAAACAACGTTTTTTCAGTGTGGGCTTGCCTGATGATTTCCTTTGAAATTTTGTCAACAGATTATACTGGTAGCATCACATCTCATCACTCATGACAATGTTTTTGAGAAAATTTGGGTTGTGGCAAACTGTTTTGATGATGTCCTGAACGTGATGAATGCATCTATTTTTGTTCCTCAGCAAGTGAATGAGGAACAAAGCAGAACAGACCTTATGTTGGTTCAAATGATCATGTAAAGTCATATCGACAGAATCCTTGGACACTCCAACTCCTCTGCCAACATTCTACATGTCACAATTGGATCCTTACCCAACATCTGATGTACTTTTTCAATGTTATTGTCCATAGTCGATGCATTCAGACATTTTCAATTGACTCCCAGACATCTTTGAATCTAAACCAGTTGTAAACTAGTATACGAGATAGGCAATCATCCTCATATACTTTGTTTTAATAACTTATCCACCACAATTTTCTGAGAGTCATGAAATAACCCTTACATTTCAGCCACAGAAAGTATCATTATGAATCAGTTTAAATGCTATTGTGTACATTGATAATATAACATTCAAAATTTTAAATTTGGACATTGGAACTAGTCATGCCATCTAGTTATATTTCTAGAGCAAAAGTTTGGTTTCTTTTTAGACAAGTGTAAGTAAGAATAACTTCACTGTAAAAAGCTTTGGGCATTTTATAAGAAGATCTACATTCCAAAGCTCAATCTTATAGTATATCAACCAGTTTGGAAACTCCTGTTATAAACAAAAAATAATAATAGTAATAGAATGCTTATAATTTGTTGAATTTGAATGTATGATAGTAACAGAAATGGTTGTGTTGTCTAAAGATGGGACATTCAATTGAAATGTTTTTGACTTCTTAAAGGTTTTAAAACTGCTGTTGTTTTATTACATTTAGTCCTATTATTGCTATCATTATTCAAAATGTATAACTTTTTTAAAATATTACTTTACCATTTGAATCTCCTATACCACAAAATACAAGAAAACATTTGTTTTGTGATTTAACCAAACTAAGATGATGAAGTTGATATTTGATAGATAGACTGAATTATATTTGTAAACTTGTGATAGCAAGAAAGTAATAATCAGTATTTTTCATCTGTTATGTTTATACTTTGTATTTATAGATTATAATTCATAATCTCTTATTGCTTTTATTGTGTATGTTGATTTTAGCCTACTTATAAAATTTAGGGATACTATCCTCAAAAATAATTTTTTTTTGTATTTTGAAGATAAATGCTTTTTGATGATAAAAAGTTTAAGTATAATTGTTCTCAGCTAAGTTTGAAGTTTATTAATACAGTATGTAGTCTAAATTTTTTAGATAACATGTACTTTGTAGAGCATGAATAATAAGTACATTCTATATATATTTATTATTCACAAAGTTCTTATTTTTGTATTGAAAATTAAAAATTATTGCTGTAATTCCTATAAAATAATAAATTAACACAGAATAGGTTGTAATCAATTATATTTTAGCAATAATACTAATAATGCAATGAAATTATAAAAAGTAACATTAGTAAGCCATACTGGGGATGCAGTATAAACCTATAATACATTGATATTGTTTTAATGTTCCTATTAAAAAGGAAACTACAAAATATTTTAACTTTTGTTTAAAATTTTTTCAACAGGAAATTATGACATTACTTATCAATCTGTTTCCATTTTACCTACTGAATACTGTAATAGTTCCTATATTGAAGAGAAATCATTGGCCAATTACATTTGTATCAACAACACTAATTCTTTCTGTCAGGTAAGGGATTTAAAATAAGTTTCATTAATTATATTTAAATTTCTACATAAGTTTTTTTCTTAATAGAGTGGAGCACCCTTGATATGTACAGATACTGATGGATATTGGCAATTGAATGGAATATTAAGATCAAGAACTTGTAACAATATAATGCCAGAACTTTATATTTCTATTTTATCTCACCTTTCTTGGATACATTCTGTCATTGGTTAACAAGACAACATTGATAAATTTTAGCATTTTATTGAAGGACAATTCAAAACTGAATTTGCCCAAGCACAAATAATTGCCAAGAGATGTACAGGACTTCTTAGGATTCTAATAAATTTTCTTATGATTAAGCTCTTTAAATGATATGTAAAATAAAATGAATATTTGGAAAAATCTATGAACAAAGCATTTTTTTTATTTTATTTTTTTTATTTAGAATACAAACTATTAAAAAACTTTCTTCAAACCAGATTTGAATACAGGGAACATTTAATTTGCTTTAATATAAATTAGTTTCTTTTTGCTGTGATGTTTTTTGTGTATTTATCACTAGTGTTTTTGTTAAATTTATTTAAAAATATTAGAAAGCACAGACTATGCAACTACTCTGTATCACTGCAAGTGATCCTTAATGTAATTTGTAATATAGCTTTATAACTGGAAATTCATTTTATCTAGTAATTAAAACATTTTAACAAAAATGTTTTGTCTAATAAAATAATATGACAATATTAGTTTCTTAATAAAACTGTTTTTATTCCACCTCAGGAAAAAAACAAAAAAATACAAAGTGCAAATGTCACAGGGGCTGACACAGAAACCCTAGATGTATACAAGTTTTTAATAGTTAGATTTACCATATGACCATGAAAATAACTATTCATGATCAAAAAATTATAACAAAAATACACAGATGAACAATTACATAACATATGAACTGAAAAATTAAAATGAATACATGTTTTACATACACACATGTGGATTAAAAGGAAATGTCATCGGATGTACACTATGTGATTTCATTTCTATTGTCGAAGTGGGTGCGCACTGTTTTGGATGAGGAGTGCTGTGCTGTAATGAAACTGGAATAACTTGTCCACCCTAAAAAATTTTTAATCATTAAAACACATTTTAATATACATACCATTAAACCAATTTAAAAATTTACCATCTTTTATTTGAGAAAGAGAGAATAAAAAAATAAAATTCAGTTTTAGATTCTTAATTACAAGCTTATAAGAACATAATATAAATTTTTTTCCTTAAATTATAAATTTGGAAAATTTTTCTATATTAAATATTTTATATAGGATAAAAATGTTATCAGATACATAAAATATGTGTATAATCAAGCCATCTTCATATCATAATGTTATGAAATTAGTTTGCTTAAAACCAAATGATTGTTTAATTACAGCATACATCAGATTCAACAGATGATAAATTTAATCAGAAATTTATCATCTGATAGATATAAATTATTTAACTATTTGAATGATTTAATAGTAATCATTATATACTAAGAAGTAATAATATAACCTAAATTTACAAAATAGATGAACAATTTAATTATTTCAAAACATTCTTAATTTTATAAGGCAACAAATTAGAAAATAGTATTTTAACAGGTAAATATGAACTAATTTTTGAAGTCTACGTGATCAGATTCAAAATAACACTGAAACTGATTATGTAATAATCAGATTTAAAGACATGTAAACTAAAGATCTGGAATACTAAAATGAATTCATTCTAAAAGTTGTGGGATCACAAAATGAACAATGTATATGAAATAAATGAAAGAAAACATATTTGAGCAGCCTGTTAATTTAACAAAAGTAAATCTACTCCATGGTTTGCTGCCCTTTTGTTTTCATATATATCAAAAAGTTCTGGAAGTCATCATTTGTAAATTTATCCTCATCTACCAATTTAAAAACAAGGACTTTCTGAATTCAGTCTCTGTCATACACTCTTTCCTTTAACTGTAAATGTTCTTCAAAAATAGCAATTGTGTGTCAAGCATAGTGGGATGTTGCCAAAACATGTAATCCATAGCCTCTTGTTGAAGCACTCCATACTATATACTTGTGTGTTAATGCAAAATTTAGATGGTGCAGTAAAAGCCTGGACTGTATGTGAGGGCTTATGGCTACTCAAAGCAAAATCTTCATTAGGAACTTTGTATGATGTTTGAAATTCACTTCTGGCATAATGGCTTTTCCTTTTATACAGTAAAAACATTTTTTATCATCTGCACATTCAGAGCCATCTATTGTAAAATAAGATTCATCTATAACAACATTCAGGATTTTTTTGGAATGCAGATTTTTTTAGTTATCACAGTAAATGTTTCATTTTCTAACTGCTTCAAAGTTTACTTGTTATTAGGAAAAGGATCTCTGTAAACAATATTCCCTTCCTTTAATATCCCATACATATGTGTGTGAGATATTTTGAACTTTCAATCTAGCTTAAAGATGTTACTAGCTCACCTTATCAAAAGTGGCATTAGTTAGCTGCTTATGGTTTGCTTCAATCATTTTAACTAGAAGAATAATTTCTGCCCGATTAATTTGGCTGATGGTTGGTTAATTTTCAAAAAATAAAAAAATATTTCAGAATCAAATAAGCAACTTGCATGCAATTAGAAAATCTGCAAATTCAATTTCTTTTTATGCACACATGTACAAAAAAAATTATGCAAGTTATTCCAGATTTTTAGTTTACACACTTGTAATTATTATAGTACATACAATATATGTGAAATTAAACCAGAAAATGTATGACCCAGAATAAGATTTCAATATAAATCTAAAAACTGAAATGCACCGAAAATGTAAATTATTTTAATTCTAAATAATAAAACGACTTTTCAACAGATTTTTCTTGTCTTATATTAAAATCAACTTTATTTAAAAATAATTACTCAAGACAGTTTTTTAAGAAAGTAAAAAATGGGTTTAAAAAATGGATAAACTTAAGATTATTTTTTAAAATTATTTATATATTGACCTATAAAATGACTATTTAATTTTTTTTCTATTTTTGAGGGCTAAAAACAGAAGAAAACAGGATGTATGGCCATCCTAATTTAACCAAAAATTTAACAACAAATATAAAATAAATTTATTTAAATATTTGATGTAGATTTAATTGCAATGCTTAATAATAATGCATATTCAGAGATTGAGATAAATCTGGAAAAGTCACCATAAAATGAAAAACACTTAAAAATAGAGGAAAAAATTAATATCTTACAAAAATTGGTACAAAATTAGTACACAAGATGAAAAATAAAATTATTCTATGTAGCCTCTGTCATCTTCCACAATCTTCTACAGCCTTTACCTGACATGGCTGCAGATGCACTTGACCTGGTCCTTGTCCATGTTCATAGTCACTTACATGACAGAAGCCTTTAGAACATCCTTGGTATTGTTAAGATTTGCATTTATCTTTGCCTTGACCACACCCCACACATAGTAGTCAAGGGGATTACAGTGGGGCTGAATGCAGCCACAAACCAGGAGACCAGAGCATGATCCTTCAGTTTTCTGTCCTTGTTGAGAGTTTCAAGATTCCACTTGATGTTTTAAAATGCACTAAACATAATAGTACATATTTTTTTCATGTACTATAACTTTGTAATTGATAATGTTACCCTATTTTCAGGTGGGACTAAAATTACAACAGCCCTCTCTGACTGAAGGGATGCATGGAATAAAATTTGTACCATAATTTAGAATATGCTTGACATAGTTATGCATCAACAGAAGATCTATTATTTTTGAAATAATTGGCCAGAGAGAGACTTTTTTACTATCCTGGATATAAATACTTGTTACAATAAATAAAGAATTGAACTGAAGTGAATACACCATATTGGTTTATATTATAAATATAAAATCAATGTTTACTTTTACATTTTGATTAAAGATTTCAGTCATAACGATAAATTTTTAAAATAAATTCTTGAATTTTAAATCAGTTCTTGTTAAAAACCATTTTTTGTTCTAATTCAAGTTTCTAGATGTTTTAAACTTTCTTCCCTCAGTTTTTAGTGCAGTTATACTGAGTGTATTATCAAAAATTGTTAGTTTAAAAAAGTAGTTAATTTTCCAAATGTGACTATTGTTAAAAATTAAGTTTTCTAAAATTACTATTAAATTTCATTGTTTTTCAGAGAATACTTAGAAACATTTATTACTTCTTTCACTATTAATTCACTCAGATAATATATAAATCATTATATAAATTAATGATTTATATTATCATTATAAATCCAATATTATTATTTATTTACTAACTTAAACTAAAATTTAAGAGGATACTTAGTGATTGGTGATGTTGGTTGGCATGTTGTGTTATGTCTTTCTATCCAGTGAAATTTGAATTTATAATGAGTACTTTATTTTGAAGATGTAATTGTCTTAGTCTTATTTATTAATAATTCTATTTATTTTATTATAGTTACTATAGTTATATGAATGCAAGGATTTAGATCTTAGGAGGAAGTGAGACTACTCACAATTCATTCAGACTGGAACATCAGTATTAAAAATTCTTTAAAGAACCTTCTAAAACAAAACTCTTGTTAGTCCTCACTCATATACAGACTAATGTTTTTGATCCTCTCCTCTGGATCCTCGTCATGTCAACATCTTTTAGGATCGGAATGCTTTGATCATCATTGCAATTGCTATGTTTCAATCATCATTGCATTTTTAAAATGTGTTCCATTTCTTATATAGGATTAAAGGATAAAACCTTTCAGTGACATTGATGTAATAATATAATAATTCTTGCATTTGTTGCAGTTTTTTAAAAATAATTATAATCATTGTATAGGTTGCAGTTATTAAAATCTGCTAAGCACAGGACCAAAATTTCTCTTTGAAATTAATACTTGTCCCTTGTTTCTCAGATTTATAAATGTCTAGTGCTTCCAGTGCTCTGATATTATCTAATTGCCAGGATCATCTTATGATGGAGGCATTCTGTAGATTGGCATGGATGTTACTATCTGAGGCATAAATGGACAAGGTGGTGTGTTTCTTGTTGGTGATATCAATATTATATTCTGCTAATCATTTTTGTAGAGAGCACATGGTAGAATTGATGTATTCTAATTCTTGGTGGATTTTCTACTTTGTTACCAGAATCTGATATACTCCTAGTAAGCAGAAATGATTGGCCATGTCCTTGCCATCACATAATAGATTCTATATAGTAGGATTGCATATACATGCTATTTTAAGGTTCTTATGTTTTGCTATTTCTTTATATACATTCTTCAAAATATGATTATATTACACTACTATACGGCCAATCGATTCCAGTATAGAACACTTCACTGGTATTATGTTTCTTTATTTCTGCTACCACTTCCACTGTTTCTGTTCACATATGCTTTGGCTAACTTTTAGATAAGGATTTTCTTGTAACCATTTTTTTAAGAGAAGTGTGACATTATTTTTTTGAGTGGTTGTAACTTGACAGAAGATTCACATTCTAACTTATTTCAATGAAGTCCAATCCTATTTTTTAGATTACATAAATTCTTTTCTAGCTATGTTAATTTAAATTAATTAATGGGATCTTTGTTAATCATGTGTTATACTATGTTTATTTAATTTAATGATTTAGAAAAAATAAACATTTTCAATTTGTGACATCTGTAAATTTTGATAATTAAAAACAATGTATTCTCATGTAATAGAAGTTTAATCTCTATTACAATAAATGAACATTTGTTTTGATTTGATTTAAGAAGTAAAATTTAACAGTTTGATGCATAGATTGTCCTCAAAATAAATTCATACTACACAAAGCTATTTCAAACCTCATACCAATTTATATTAGGATATCACTTATTAGAAAAATATAAATATTACTGTATGATATATTGAGATTATGGTAAGAAACATATTTTTGGATATAAAATATTTAATAAATTCATTTTATATTTTCAAATTCCTTTGTACCAACAACATAAATGTTATATATACTTTACCTCAATAAACACTCCATGTCACTGATATACTTACCACTCCATTTACAATAATAATAAATTAATGCCAAAAATATTAATACTAATT